CATGCCGAGAAAATAAATAAAACTGATGTATAGCGGTGGTGCCTATGTTGTTAAGTAGCAAAAGCACTCACAAGCAACATCAGTCGCCACAAGAATGGGAGCCTCTTGGCGCTTGAATGAGTGAATAACCGTGTTTCGTTCCGACTGATGCATGTCGCCATGTATGAGGAGGACCTTAAAATCACGGGCCTTCAGCTTCTGCGCGACCTCTTCGGCGTGAGCCTTTCGGGTTACGAAGATGAGGACACTTCCCTCTGTTAAGGAGAAGAAAAAAGTTAAGGGCTTAATATTTCCGGCCTGCACACAAAGTGGCTCGTTTGGGCCATATACAGGGCAGGGAAGAAGGCGAGACCTGCATCGTTTAAATAGACATAATTCTTCGACACGCCTTTGAAAAAAAGGAGATAAAGGGACTCCTGAAGCCGATTAAGACAGAGTCACGGAGGATGCAGCGACACAATCGCCAGGCGTAAGTATTATGCTCTGAAAAGTCCACGAACCACAGAAATTACAATATGGGGTGATCATCATAGCCTCGTGGATGTTGCCTTTCTAACAGACAAGGTCCCACCCAATATCTCCGCCTGGGGGTTAGGGTCTGCAATTAAAGGAGCAGGAGGATACCTTAACAGGTTACCACAGCCGGGAATGGAAACGTTAGTGTGGTCCAGCCAAGTGGACAACTATGACCAAAAGCGAATACAAGGCTGTCAGCGCAGTTGACACTACTCATGTCCACATAGCATACCCTATTCTTCTCGGTAATTCGGTCACACGGCGCAGTAGACTACACTCCTGAAATGTCACAACATTCCTAATGAGCAGAAAAAGGCCCTGCCCAACGGCAAGGTCGCTGCTGTTGGAGATGCTATTCATTCTGGTACTCGATGCTTACTCATTGGGGAAAATTAAATTGGCAAGAGTTCCCCGTCGATTAATTTGTAGAGGCTAGCACAGTTCCCAGTAGACAGATCGCGATGCTTTGTCAACATCTCCGCAACTGATGAGACCTTATTTATCTTCGAGTCGCGGCTTCACCCCATGTAATAAAGGTTCAAATTCGGTTTGTTCTGCTTCATGAAGCTCTAAAATAATATTTGAAGCTGGAGCCTCCTAGTGAAACTGAAAAAGTCCATAAATCCAGCGATGGGCGCTCGGCCATGTAGGCTGTTCGATTGTCCAAAGTAATTGTGAATTGAGAATAAGTTTGTTTAAAACGATGTAGACGTTATATGCATCTACCTCACTCTCCCCTCCCGCAGCCACCACAAGATAAAGTGAACACGACCGGAGACGGAATTGGGTGAAGCGGCCGATAAAACTAAACAGCTCGTCACGCATGTCATACACGACCTGTTCCTAAATCCACATGTATTAGGCTTAAATGAAGTTGCCTCGGTTTCTACGCAAGTAAGAGCGCCATAACAAGTACAGTGAGAACAATTAATTACACGGTGTCCTGAGTTATAATATTACTTAGTAAGCCTTAAAGCCACGACTGGTGGCGAGCCAAATTTATTGCAGAGGAGATTGTGTTGAGTTGTCATGAGGACGGATTCGACAGTATCTATCTCCTTCTTAAGTGCACAAGCGGCGTGCACTTGGATAACTATTCGCTCTTTCTGTGAGAGCACAACATGAATAAGCGCGAGATCAAGAAAGGAGGCGTGAAAAGCTTACCATACCTGACGTGAACTTGACTAAATTTGCAGTTAACCAAAGCCATTTGTCATCCCACTTGTCAAAAACGTGCACAATTTGGGTGATGTCCTCATTGGCCTGAAATTGAAAATGTGATTATGGAGTGCTTAAAATAAACAGTATTATTCCTGTAATCATTGCCCTTTTGGGGCTCAAAAGTTGTCTAATCTTAATGCCATACAAAAGATGTGGAAGGCAATGGGATCCAATGCTTGTCTGATCAACTCAGCAATAAAGCTGGGAATGAAAGCTAATGGTTGTGTCCGTCATCCCTTAGACGAAGATTGCCATGCATAGCAGACTTATACTGTTAAGCGTGACTTCAAAACGCCGAGACCGTGGGTACATTGTGCAGATGACTTATTTGTGAGTCTCTGTGAAAACAGTCTTATTTTGCAGCTCGAAAAAATTTTAATAGTGCCCCTAGGTGCCATGTATTTTAACATATTGCCTTGTGTACCCAACTTGTGGGGCTGGCAGTCCGTGCTCGGTTAGCTTATTTCCAACGACGTCAGAGCATGCCTTGATGTTTTGCATACCAGGCATTAGAGGAGAGCATTTAAATCCTATTTGATCAAAACGGGGTCCTGCTGGGCCATCGTGAATTCCAATGACAATGGATGATGTTTTTTCGTTCGGTGGATAAACAAAGTACGAAACTCACCTCACCGACTTCACCCTGTACTATGCGAACGGGGTCTGTGAGGATGTCACGAGCCAATTGTTCAATTTTTCTCTTAAAGGTAGCACTGAAAAGGAGGGCTGAAAAAGGGGAGAAGGACAAATACTTTCAAGAGTACCGAACTAAAGAGGGCAAAAGTATTCCAATTCTAGCCCATTCAAGAAACGAATTAAAAAATTGCAGTTTAGTAAACTAAAGGCATGCTTAGTTTCTTAAATTTTTTAGCTAAAACGTGTCGCAGTAAGAAGCGAGCTCCAA